TGTCGCCCCGACAGAAGAAGTTAAATATTGCGCCTAAATATATGCCATGCTATAACGGAAATGGACGACACGCCATTTCTTTAAATAAAATTAACTGCTTGCCAAGTCTTCTGTTCTCTTTCATTGCAAGTTGAATTATTTTAATATCTATTTTGCAAAATTTTGTACATAAAATGAAATAACACTTTTTAATATACAACGCTATAAATGGACCAAAAATTATAAAATAAAATAATGTAAAAAAAAATATTTTTTAAAAACAAGCTTTTTTTTAACATGTACAATCAAAGGAATAAAATAAAGTAGTGTAACAAAAGATTTTTTAGCAAGACAATTTTGTCAAAACTGCACTAAAATGAATAAAATAAAATAAGTTAAGGCCTCGTTAAAGTTACTAAAAGCCATTTAGTGAAAGGAGTTATTCAAACTCTAATGAAAATTACTAACAATTTGTACTAATTTACTTCGTTTTTAAAAAAGCTTGTCGGCGAATTCAGCGTACATGCATAAGTGGTTAGGTATGTATGTATGCAGATATTTAAATGCCGGTTTGCTATTCGCGAGAAAGCACATTTCCATGCGTGGCTGTAGTTGAGTGTGCAAAGATGCTTGATAAAATTGGTTGCTACCAAGGCTGTCCGGGTTCAACCCCATCAGACGGAGCATGAAATTTAAGATCTTTTTTTTATTCTTAATTATGAAAATATTTGGGTTAAAATTTAAACCGAACTGTTTAAATTCTAAACCCAACATGGGTGCTCTCTTTTTTTAGTCTTGGAAGGTTTGTATTTGAAACTGAATTTAGTTTGGTCATATATGTATGTAGTCCAAAAAGTTTAAAATTAAAACCGAAACTTTTAACCGTGCACTGAGCAAAACTACTTGAGAAAAAAACTTCTGTTAACTTGTCAAACGATTCCTAATCTTTGACAATACATTCATTCACCACGATCTTGAAAACTGACCAAATCGGCGTGACCAAGTCCATATAGTTTATATAATATTAAAATGATTTAATATTATATAAACATCCGAAAACATTAAAACGTTTGAAATAAATCTCGTCTCTTTTTTTTTGTATTTTTCACTTGGTTGCTGAAGTAATGAAGAATTGAAAATTCATAAGGGAAAATTATAGTTTTTATAAGTTTTATCTTAATATCTTAAAAACGTGTAGCCTTTTTGAAAAATGGTAAATGAACATGAGGTACTAAATTTAATAGCCCTTAATTTGATATATCGTCCTGTTTATAACAATAACCATTCCATAGATATTACAAGCCAAAGTTTCATTTTCAAAATTCATACACTTTGGTTCAATTGCGCGGGCTAAAGATAAGTTTTTAATTAATCTTTCTTGGTTAATAACAATTGGCTTAGACCTAAGACATCATAATATTACTATTACAATGCGGTCAAATGCTTTTAATTTCCCCCTACAAATTCGACCCAGCCTAATGTACATACATATATTTTTCTCTACACGATTCATTTCGTTTGTTGTTTCGTCTGTGACTACTAAACTACTGTAGTGTACTATCGCCAAAGTGAACTCAGCCGTTTGTTTTTCGTATTGTAACGAACTGTTGAAGTAATAAACGAAACGAAATAGTAACGTACAATTTAGTTTATTTCGTACCCTGTTTTTTGCTTTATTCCGTATACGAAAAATTATATGTTTCAATGGACACATCGCTTTGAATACATAAATTAGATGTAGATATTTTTAGCAATTTAGTTGAGAAAAATAAAACATTTAGATTATTGTTTGTATTTTGGTCGATTTTAAATTTGCTACCCCAAAATAATTGATATCAAATAAAACACCTCTTTGAGGTAAAATTTTCGAGTGACGAAAGCTGAACTAGAAACACAAAATTTATGATATCAATTTCGTGACGAAAATTATACGAATTTTTTAACTGCCTTTGAAACGTACGGAAAATCTTTTTTTTTATTTATTCGGAACGCTCCAAAATAGCGTCTACTGCTAGAAACACAAAATAAAAAACAGAACTTTTGCAACGATTCGTATGAATAAAAGATTTTCCGTACGTTTC